GTTTCTCCTCTTTGGGATATTGACTCGGGTCTTATCCTCCTTCACTTTTGCTTAGTCGTGACTTTCACAAAGTTGCTTTCACTGCCTTAGATTCTTTTGTTTGGTTCTTTGATGCAACACTTTTCTTTAACTCCTTCTGATCAGCAAATGGAGATGCATTTCCATGACTTGCGATGCTTAACTCCATGTCGTGAGCTCGCGTTGCAAGTTCTTCAAAAGTTCGTGGTTTGATCCCTTGTAAGATATACAAAAGGCCCCAGTGCATACCCTGAATGCACATCTCTACAACATATATTTCTGAAAGGCGATCCTTGCAATCCAAACTTAACGCTCTCCAACGATTGATGTAATCCACCACGGATTTGTCCTTCCTTAGCTTGGTGCCAGTCAACTCTATCATGCTTACAGTTCTTCGGGTACTGTAAAAACGATTGAGGAATTCCTTCTCAAGTTGCTCTCAAATATCAATAGACTCGGGCTCCAAGTCAATATACCAATCAAATTATTCCCTTTCAACGAACGAACAAACTATTTTACCAAAAGGTGACCATACGTTCCAGCATTGCTACAAGTCTCGTTAAAGTGGGTAATATGTTGCCTTGGGCTTTCTTTGCCATCAAATTGATGCAGCTTTGGTGATTAATAATTGGTTGGCCTAGTTAGACAATAAATCCTCTTATTATAAGGCTTAGAGTAGTACAACGAACTTTGTGATGGTTGCCATATTGAGCTCTGATGGTGTTTGTTATCATGTCTTGCAATTGTTAGACAGATAACACCGCAACCGAAGTGGATTGCTTTTCCCTCTGAATGCTGAACTTGGCAAGCGATTCCTCAACAACCATTTTTTGCGAGGTGAAGACAGGTGAACGAGGGGGACATGGCTCGAATCCCCATGTACATAGGCCTCCAATTTGTTCATGAGTTGAGCGATTTGAAGGTTTTTGTCTTCAACAGATTTATTCAAGACTTCTATAGTCTGTTCCATCATGGCAAAATTTTCATCCATGTTAGTTGCGTCAGTCATTAAGGCATTGACTTTTTTTGAAATTGGAGAATCCACTAGATCCTCAAATTCACCAAGGTTGGAGGTTGTTTGAGAAAGTTCGTCAAATAGCAAGGATGGGGTGTTGCCCTGGTTGCAGACATCATGTGAGATCTGCTCTTCTTTTCCATCTCCAAGGAGGCGAAGTATTCGGATCCATCCAAGCCACTAGCCTTGGACTTGCTTCGAGTGATTGGTCCAACATGACTGATGTTACGTCCCGTAATATTACGTCGATATTATGTCCCGCAGTATTATATTACGATGATGTTACGTCCTGCGGTATTATAGTACGATGATGTTACGCCTTGCAGTATTACATTACGATGATGTTACGCTTTGCAGTATTAAATTACGACGATGTTGCACCCTGTAGTATTGTACGTTGAATTTGTCGTAAGGTAATTGACTTCAGTCCAAGGAAAAGATTATTTGGAGATTATAAGGATTATGCTATTTCAAACAAGTGATCAGTAAATTCGTGAAGGTGAGATGGGAAGCAAGTCAAAGGAAATGAATTTTCGTCCAAGTTTGATATGTTGGGATAAAATACGGCCCGAGCTAAAATACCCAGTATTTATGGACTAGTACCATACAAAGTACCACATGGCCATGATAGTAAGGTGTATAATATGTGATAAAAGTGAGTAGTATTTTAAGTAGTTTGAGATAATTCTTAATTATGTGGATATTTGGTTAATTGTGAAGTTTTGGTGGAAGATTAACCATGTAATTAAGAAAATTGGTGGATAAAATTTGGATAAGCTTAAGTGTTGAGACGTGCCAGCATGTGCCATGTAACCAAATGACTCATTAGTCATTGATTATATGCGTCAGATTAAGGAATTTTTGGCAAAATTTGTCCTTATCAAGTGGGGCCCACAACCACTATGATAAGAGTAATTTTTCCTTTCCTGGGGCTTAATTTCCTTCCGCTATTGTTATTAAATGGTCAAGCAATGATTCTCGTCAACAACCTTCCATTTCAACAGGTTAGTGTAAATTTCAATTTTGATCTTGGTATATCGTACAGTATACCAATACAAATCTGATTAAAGCTTCAATTATTTGGATCAGTTGGTAATTGTACTCGACGAGAATTGCACAAGCTCATGATTGCTTCCTTTAAAGTGTCAAGATAATTCGATAGTAATTCCAAGTTGTCTGTCTCTTTTTGGTTGCAGAACTAATTGGAATAGTGCATGGAAAATACAATCTTTCTCAAGAATATCATACGGATTTTTCCCTACTTCGGTCCACCGTTACGTGTTGTCGCAATTGACGAGTGTTAGAGGGATTGTCAAGAGAATCGGCTCAGGTATGTTAAGGCTATCCCTTCTTTCTTTTTGGCATGATCCAAATAATACGAATGAAACGAGCAAAATACGCAACTTTCATAAATGACTCTATTCATAGAAATACTATGGGTGTCTATATTCTTGATTCCCCATGTGGATTATTATTATATCTTCTGTTCATAGGTCTCAGAAAAATACGTATTTGATAAAGTTTACCCGAAAGGCATATGGATTTTTATGGCATTCCGGGAAAATCTTATTAACGTATTTTTCATGCATTTCATGCATTTATACATGTACATTGACCAATGACCAGATGGCGTTATATACGTGTATATATGTATATTGTATTTATATGGGATATGGGAAAAGGTTACGGCGTTATATACGCACCACCGCTAGATCAGCTAGTATACGTTGATGATTTGCCCACAGTGGCCAAGATGATATGATGGGATGCCCTTAGAGGCTTGATGATGTTATGAACACATATACCCATGCATGGTATGACATTTATACGCATATGCATGACATTATAAAAAATGAAATGATTCACAGAGCTATGCAAATGTTCATGTCGAGTCTTTTACTCCATGTTTCTCTCATGTCTATTATTTACTGATTTTCATTCCTTAAATACTCGATACATTATTTGTACTGACGTTCCTTTTGCCTGGGGACGCTGCGTTTCATGCCCACAGGTCCCGATAGACAGGTCGAGAGCCCTCCAAGTAGGCTATCAGCTCAGCGGAAGATGTTGATGCGCTCAATTTGCTTCGGAGTTGCTTGTTTGGTTAGTATGATTTAGATGTGTATTGTTTGGTATGGAGGAACTCTGTCCCGACCTTTATGAAAATTATGTATTCTTAGAGGCTTGTAGACAGATGTCATGTACGTAAAAGATTGTATAGCCTTGTCGGCCTATTCAGTGTACGAGTGGTTATTTTGGCCTTATAGACCCGTATGTCTTATGTATAAATTGGTATCACATGTTATATTCTACTTATCTCACAGCAGCCTTCTGGCTCAGTTATCTATGATAGTATGACATGAAAAGATATGTTATGTTGGTGCTCGATTGAGTAAGATACCGGGTGCCCGTCGCGGCCCATCGATTTGGGTCATGACAACTGAGCTCAGCGATGTGGCAGCAGTAGCATCGTTGCATGAAATATCATCACACATGCGGAAGGCCATTGCAACAGTATATCTTAAGTTTGTAGTTTTCAACTTGCAAAAAGGAGAGATGAAAGGCAGAATTGGTTCCGTCGGGCGTGCCAAAAAGTTTTCGCGACAAATTTTCGTAGTACAAAAAATAAGCTGCAACAAATTAATATGAAGAAAAAAATATTTTATTGATAAATATTTGTGAGTACAATTCTATGTATCCCTTGATTCTCCTCTCTAAAATTCTCCGTGATTAGAGGGCTTGAGAAGCATCTTTCTCGAATGTAGACGATGCAGACCTCCTTGTGATATATTTAATCGCCAAGAACGTCGAGCAACACTTTATTGTTATAGGTTGATCTCCGGGAAGAACTTCGTTGATCACTCCTTTGTTGAAGAACTATGCACTTAATGATTGATCTCTATGTTTGTGGATGGCTTCACCAATTGCGGAATACTCTTCTCCAACTCTGAATGTCTCCAGAGAGTTATGTAACCCCTCTATATATAATGGTAGAGGATGGACAGTCCAGCTACATATGAACTCTCTTGCTTGATTCTGAATTTCTGATTAGCTCTTGTGAGTCATCAAACTTATCACATAAGTTATGTGATAAGCTTGCTAGTGATTGTCCAAGACATGTCATTTTAGACACTTGGCAACTCTTGATTGGTCATTGTTTTAGACTGGGATTGCCACATCATTTCACACGTGACGTCATCTTGTTGGCTTTGAGTTTGACTGGATATGTCATGTCACTTGACACATGGCATGAGTCTGGGCCTTAAGATGAAATGGACATTGGGCTTGCAAATAATAAAATAGACTAATTTAATTTGTAAAGTTTAAATTAATTATTTAACCCAAATAAAATTAAGATTCAATCCAAATTTTTGTATGGATTAGACTTAATAAATTTTATATGTCTACGATCATACCATACGACCCCTTAGATTAAAAGTACAATCGAACTTTGAGTTTGTCTTTGACCGGAGGACTGGCTGGATTAGAGAGATTTGCATTACCCTAAAAAGAGAAGTATGTTGCTCTTAGCTTTACTCTTTAGTACTTACTTATTTTTGCTTTGTAAGGAAATAAGGAGTGTGTCCAAGGCGAAACCATATACAGGGGTGGATCAGAAACCATATTCATGAGTTTGATTACGCATACATTTGACTAGGCAACTATGACCTTGTTTCCTGACACAAGGGCATAGTCCAAATAAAATCTCTGGTACTTCTTCAAAAATACCTTTTAACAGAGTTGGATGCTTGAGAGCTTTAATAATGCTGGATTTGCAGAATATTTTCAACTGCGAGACATTTGACAACCTAAAGTACCATATCTCAATGCAGTTGGGAATTCAAAGGAGCAAACTAATCAAACAATTGCAAAACCATTCTTAAAAATCCAAATGGTTTGGAAGTCCTAAATCATTCTCCAACTATAGGATGCAACAAATTTACCTGATTCAGGCTTGAAAATTATATGACCAGAAATACTCAACTTTAATTGAAATATCAGGGTCCAGAATAGTACACAAAAATGCAACACGTTCAAGGGGGCAAAAACTTCTGATCTTCATCTGATTACAAGAATATTGACAAACCTGAACAAGAAGATATCACACTAGAGCTGCAGATTACTACTATTGACTGCAAACAAGATGGGGAAAAGAAAACAGGGCAAAGTAAATGCTGACAAGCTATCTATACAACTACAAAACCACAGCTTAAAATGTTCTGCCAAAAAGTTAGTTCAACTTTGATAGCTAGAACCTCCTGCCGATTCCTAAGCAGACTTGCGTCATAACGTATGTTAGAAGCACACCAAAATATCACCTGTTGTCCTCCCATGTTTGGAGAGATCTCTATCTTGCCACTTTCAGAAAGCAGAGAATAGAGGCGTTGGCATGCTTGTTAGAAAATAGGAGAATTGTAAAAGTATGCAGATGACAGCAAGCCTATGCAGAATTGCTTCTTACAGCTGTCTATGGGGTTGTCCGCGAATGTTATTGTGTGCCTCGCATTGACCCATTCCGTGCTACACTCCTGTAGATATATACATATTATTTGAAGCTAAAAATAAATAAAATTGAATAATAGGCACAGTGAAGTTCTACATTTCAGCACTTCTCCCTAGCACTTATTGCAAGGATGAGTGAACAGTAACTGGAGAAAAGAAAAGGAAACCTAATAGAGGGTTTTTAGAAAGGGAAAGCATAAAAATCTTTGAGAAAGTTAGTTTGCTAGATAGTGAATTGTGCTTAGATCCGGAACTGCAGAATCTATCCCTTGTGGCTGCACCTGCATTGCCTAGAAACCTCATGTTTTTTTCTTTCTCTCTTTTCTTTTTTTTTTTTTTTTTTTTTTTTTTTTTGTAACAAGGTAAGGTATTTTGTTGATGTTAAGTACCAAGAAGGTACTACAGAAAGTAGAAAAGGAAGACAACTAGTTCACATATACTGTTACAGCATCACCTCTTCCAAAAATTCCAAAAGAAAATCTGGAAATTCCAGCATACCACTCCTACACTATGAATATAAAGACTGTAAGCAATCTATACGCTACAAGAGAAGAATGGTGTTTCTTTCCCTCAAAACATCTGTAATTTCTTTCCAACCATATTGTCCACATGATGCATAGAGGGGAAGAAACCTCATGTTATAACTTGCCAAAACTAAAAAAGACGATGAACATCTGAAAAAAAAGTGATTCAAACCAGAATTGAGGATCCAGCTATTTTCAGTTACTATATGTTTGCCTATAACTGCCATCTTAGATAAACTACGTGCCTTTAGAACCCCACCTGAATTCAAAAGATTATATTTCAAGTCTGAGTTTGTCATTTAAGGACCTCTTAAAGGAATTAAGTTATCAGATGAATGAGCAGAGCAAAAGGGCTGAGCCCCTATATGCAATAAACCAAGACAGAGGCTCATTAGACTGCCCATCTCCTGACATTGTTCATGGAATCATATTCTCAAGTGTTAATCCATCCACTCCGTGTACATGTACATGTTCCGCTCCATAATTTTTTCCAAAATATAGGCCTCAAGTCTTAATATATCAAGTTAGATAAGTTTCAAGCAAAGATATTGAAACCTGATATGGTCATCTGTTTCCACTACCATCATAGAATAAGGCCTCAACAACAGCATAAGCATTCACCACCATCATGTGTTAGGCATCGACAATCATAGAAGCATGTGAATTTTCTTTGTTGAAAACATACGCCAAATGGGATCCAGCTCAAGATGGTCCTAACTCCCAACAGTCCAACCCCTTCCCCTCCACCCCAGCCTTTAACAAGATTTGTAACCATTAGGTCAGGAGTACAGAAACAAATACAAATGTCTAAAAAAGTAGACACTGATAAAGAGGCCTCTAATGTCTTCTGTTTCTCACGTTTGTTTTGGCAAGTCAAAAGAAATCTTCTTGTATTTCCCACAATGCAAAATAAGATAACATCATTTGCTAGAATGGCCTAATATTGTTCATTCAGCTTCAAGCCAGACAACCTAATTATTCTGTAACAAAGGGGGATGCAGCCTATATTCAATGAGTCCAACTAAACACAGTATTTTGACGCGGAATATAGATATATGTGAAAACTACTAAAATTTCAACAAATATTAAATTCTGGATCAGTCTAAAATTCGGTGCTAAGAACCTTGAAGGTCGAACCCATCAAGTTTAAATCATGAATCGTCTTTGTTTTGTAATAGTGATTCTACTTTAACCTCCAGGTGAATCCTCACAGGCATAGTAAGTTTCAAATTATTTGTTCTAAACATGTTAGCGCTAAAGTTCACACAACAGTTTTTCTAGACTCATTTTGAAATAGAGATGGATAGGGGGAGGGGTATGAAAAAAGTAATTTGTAATTTCACAAAAGTAGCTTGTAAAACAAGGAATCAGCTAAACCATGCAATCTGACACACAGTAGGTGGCCCCAAAAGACTTTTCATTTAGAACAGGGGTCCACCTGCTATTTCACGCTTGTCTTTGAAAGAAAAAAAGGGTCTGAACTCAAAGTCCAAGAATACTTTTTTTATGACCAAGAAATATGTCTGGGCCAACCTTTAGGACCAACCGCAACCTTCGAAACTCGGGGATAATGGGTCCGCCCTTCTACTCTTCTCCATTTAAATACCAGGCTTAGTTCGCATGATGCAGGGCTCGAACCTGTGACCTAAGGCACAAGTCCCTCAACCTTATCACTTGAGCTATGTCCTGGGGGCCAAAGTCGAAGAATACTTTAAACTGCTTACTGAAACGCCGAGGAATCATGTGTCTAAAGAAATTCAAAGTAAAGACTTAAGTTCCTTGCAAATGGGAAAAAGATGTATTGTGCATATCCCGCAAGGACTCATTCTTTTTTTTCCTATTTCCTCTTTTATTTGGGTCAAGAAAATTTGGCTTAAGTCCTCAAGGGGATGACAGAAGGGATTAGACAGGAGTTAAAAAGAAAATTTTGCTTGAATGTAAAGTCTGAGATAAGGGATTGCGAGATAATTAGCGATAAAGACTGACTTGAAGTTCATTTAACATAATTGGTTGACAGAATTGAATGCATACCTTCCTGGAAGTAGCTGAGAACTGTTCACTGGACCCTTGGAATTGGCAAATCTTTTGGCTCTATTTTCTTGTTGTTTCTCAACACGCATGGCAGCAACTTCCTTCTCCATCGCAGCGACTTCCCTTCTCATCTTTTTGGCCTCGACTTCCATGGCTTTTGTTAAAGTCTCTACTTTCTTTGCTAACATCTGAACCACAAGAATGTTATCAAACTTTGCAGAAAATCAGAATGAGTGAAGGTAGTCATGATACCAATCAGCAGTCGATCTAACCTCAATAGCGTCGTCTTTATCATTAAGACTTTGATCCTTCTCATGACCAGCTTTCCTCAAAGCAATTACTTCTTTTTGCAGCAAATCATATAATACTCCAGGGACAGTATCCTCTGTTCCTGTCACTTGGGAATCATTGTGTTTTTCATCTTGATTCGCTTTCCATGAACTGTTCGCAGTCTCATTATCCTTAGTCCCATCACAGGACTTGCTGCTATTGAAATTTGGACCTGTTCCATTCAGAAGGTTTTTAGTCCTGTCCAATGATCTTGAGCCACCATCAAACGACTTAGATGTCCCTTTTGCATGCTTCAACACTGTACTGGCCCCAGAAGATCTCAGCTGAAATGATGGTGATCTCTTGGGTAAAAAGCCATTCGAGGACAATTTGGAGATGTTTTCAGCTCCACCCAGTGATTGCCGACGGGAAGGGCCGTTGCTTGAACTTCTACCATCTGGTGTACTGCGAGCACCTGCGCTAGTCGATCTCAATGTCTCTTCGAGGACCTTGAGCCTGAGATGATATTTCTCCTGAGGGAATTATCAAGATCAAGATAAAAATAAATTATAGAAATAGCATCAAAATCACGTTAAAATGCACCCTGTATTGGGACATAATTGTACTTTCAACTGGGCTTCGGACTTTGCAGCTCGTTCAGTGATTGCAAGCTTGTCACGTAACTGCTGCCTCTCACCCTGCAGAACATTTTCTGAGATCAATGTGAGCTCATTTACTTTATTTAGATTGCATCAGTTCTATTAGGACAAGATGCCCCTATGACTATCTTATAGCGAAAGTCAAGGAAAACTATCAAACCTGCACAAACTTCCTTTCTTCAAGCCACTGTTTAACAGGCATTACTTTATCATTGGCATCTTTCCACTCATTAGCAACCACGGTTGCAACCCTATTAGCGGTTACCTTGGCACGTGCTAGCTCCCGATCAAGAGTTTTTCTTTCTTCCTGTAGAATGGATAAGTAGAAGCATTCCAATTTAGGGATTGTCCACATAAAAAATATCTAGTTTATATTTTATTGAAGTCTTGCTAGGGCGAATTACATTCATCTCTTGAACTTTTCGTTGGTAATCCCGGACAGCATTAGCAGCAGCACCGCCAGCAAGAACAGCCTCTTCAAGCTCACGTACAGTTTGGGTAAGCTTTTCAACCTCTGCAACCTTTTGTCGATGCATTCTGTCCAGTATTTTATTTTCTTCCTGATGTATGTTTGTATGAAAAACATAATTAAAGGATGATGATTTAGAGATTAAAAGAATAACAACAAAGTGGTCTAACGTTCATAACAGCAGAAGCACCATTTCTGTGATCGACGTACCTGGCATATTTCTATCTGTTTCATCAATTCCTGGTTCTTGTTCTGAAGGTCATCCACCATAGAAGCCTTTGCTAATGCTGACTGCACAGTTCTCTCAGCATCAAGTAGAGCTGCCTCTTTTGACTTAGTAAGACGGTCCAGTGCTTTATTATCATCTTGTAGCTTTGCAATCTAAGGAGAAATAGGCCAGAGAATGAGTTCTATGAGGTGAGGACATACATAATCACACCCAGATGCGAAATACTGCCACAGACCTCCTGACGAGCAAGCTTGAGCTCAGCCTCCAAAGGCGCAAGAATGGCTTCAATTGGAGGCATATCATCGTCTTTTTGAGCAGCATGAACCCTTCGAAGGGTGGCTTCTGCTGCAAACTGAGCTGCCATGGATGCCTTTTTCTCTTCATTAATTTTCTTAATTTCAAGATTCTGCCAAGCATGAATTGTATCCACAGTTATGAATGCACATCAACAAAACAAAAGAAATGTACAGGGAAGAGTTCGAGCTAGTACCTTGCTTTCCAGAAGAGATTCTGTCACCTTCAGCTTTTCGTCAACCCTTGACAACTCGGCCGTAAGCTAATATCATATAAAACAATTAACTGTATCAGCCTGCATTCTTAGCACTAATGAATAGCTCTAAAATTAGCACAATAGAATTCATCATATATGCCCAAATCAAAGTGCGTAAGGGACAAATATGCAACGGTACCACTAGAACTATGTTTCCAAAAATCAACATGATTGCAATACTAATCTAGACCTGCCCAATCAATGAAGAGTACATTGCAGTATTCAACAATTAATGTGGAATTTATACATGCTATTCTTATTTTGGAACAAGCTGCCCTTCCCAAAAAGGGCAAAAGAAAAAGTAGTACGATAATGTAGATAATACTAATATCTAAGTAATATAGCAATTTCCCTAAATGGTTTTTAATGAATCCTCAAATTTTAAGTCCAAATTATATGAACAGCATCTTGTTGCTCCTAAACTAAGACACAAACCAAAAGTAAATTCAGTTACATAACAGAAAATCTAGTTCAAACAAGACTTTTTCCAAAATGGTAAATTTTAGATGAGAAATGCACTGATAGATATTGAAGGCAACAGAAACAGCAAGAGAATTAAAGTTAGAATTCTGTATTTTACCATATATTTTTCTGAAGAATTTTAATTATATACACCGACAGTGTTTTATACTCCCTCCGTTTTAATTTATGTGAACCTATTTCCTTTTTAGTCTGTGCCAAAAAGAATGACCATTTTCCCTATTTGGAAACAATTAACAAAAAATATATGTGTTTCATTTTACACCACAATTTCAAAAGTCATTCTTTCTTTTCTTAAACTCCGTGCCAGTCAAATGGGTTCACATAAATTGAACGGAGGGAGTAAAATTTTACACTAACAGTTTATGTTAACTGGTTATAGCAGGTTATTAGTCTATTTGTCAAGTTACCTTACAAGTTTTTTTCTGACGAGTTACATATTATTGTATCAGCTTAACCTGATGGCTGATGGTATGAAAAATATATACACCGTTATTGCACAAAATATAAACTCTTTTCTGAAACAAGACAGTCAACCAGTCATAGCAAAATTTTGTCCTCTGTCCTAGTTGTTTCAACTCCTACAATTCTTGTCAAACTTAGAGAATGCAGTTAATGCATTCACTTCACAGCCAATGCTTCTCTTAATCAACGCCGCTCTTTATTGAACAATTTTCAACTGTGATTGCACTTGACCTTTGAACTCAGTTTTTTAGACGTTAAAAGTGAAAATGGTATCACTTTCCTACTTCCTCTTTGTTTGCACATCCTCAATAACTCAAAATTTTGTTTAGTTGATTAAAAGTAACTGAGAAGCATCAAGTGTTGAAAAGCACTTTTAGGTGTTGAACCTGATTTTATAAATAAGCAGCAACATGTTTGGATAAAAGTGTTGAAGCTGATAATAATAGTCTTATTAGCAATTAGGAATTCGATACCTAACTTACATTAAAATATCCCTATGTTTCACTTTAATTGACACTCTTTGTTTTTTGGTCGGTCCCAAAACCCTTGACACATTTCTATATTTAGAAACACTTTAACTTTAGACTTACCAAATTACCCTTAATTATGTGATTTACAATCACAAAAATATATCTGCCTTCTTTTACACCTTCCTAAATTATGTGTCCAATCAATCAACATTACACAAAATTGGGACTGAGGTAGTATTTTGAAATCACGTCACATTGTAAGAAGGTAAATATTCAAAAAATCAAAACCTCTTCAACAGCCTTTTCTCGTAAGCGCTCTGAGAACCTCAACGCCTTGATCTCCGCCTGAGCCTCACACAATTCCCGGTCCTTATCTACAATGGCACATTCACACACCCTATCAATAAAACTGTAAAAAGCAAGAAAAAATTAAAATAAAAACTCACAACAGAAGAACACAGCTAGCTATCAAATAGCTTTGGATCCAATCCAGCTAACAATACAGACCTCTTACTTCATTCTCCAGTCGATTAAGCTCCAACTTCACCGGATCCGACCCGTGGAGAAGGTTTAAGAACTCGTCTGCGTCAAGGCTTGGCCTCATCGACGTTCTTCTTCGGTAAGTCTTCCCTTCCTTGAACGAAGCTGATACTGTCAACGGCGAAACTGTTTCACTCGTCGTCGGTCGCACATTGCCGCTGTTATTGCCGGAACACACCTCCGGCGACCTTACCTCGCCGGAAACCTCCGTCAGCTCCGATCTGTACATTTCTCTATTCTTACAGTAAGCTCACTTTTAATGAATAATTCATACATACAACAAAATGTAAATAGACAGATGATTATGTCTATATATCTATAGTATGTATATTATATACGGAAAGTGTCTCTGTGTGTGTGGAGTTCAAAAATGCTGTGTTGCTATCTCTTCAGTGTTAACTGTTAAGCTCAAAATAGAACTCTGTGTTAGAGAGAGAGAGAGTTGAAAATGGTGCGATTTTGGGGTTTGTTTCAAGACAATTTGTTACTCCGAAACAATGTTTGTTTTTATTGTTTCATTAAAATTGGTTGTATTGTATTGTTAAATTTATTATTCCGAAATAATAAAAAGTTTTTTTTTAAAACTACCGATTTGGTGTGGTGGTATTGTTTCCTATTTTTCTTTTTAATTATGACCTAACTTATTACTCCACAATTCTAATTTACCCTTTATCTTTTTTCTATTTTAACTCCAAATTTCCAACTTATAACCTACTATATTTTTTTCTAGACCAATGTTAAAGGTGTTTTGCTGCCCTCTGTTTTATTTTTTCTCCTAATTTGCTTGTAACTCAATTTTAATTAGTTGTGCTCTTTGTTTTGACTTCTTCTGTCTTGCCCCTTTGTTATGCTTTCTTGTTGTGTTTTGCCTTCTTCTGTTTTGTTTTTTAAAATTATTTTTATGCATAATTTTTGATAAATTTAATATTTAAATAATTGAGGGTATTTTAGTAAACTTGTCACAGTACAGTATGATACAGTCAAACCAAACAACAAATTATTATTTAACAATAACAAACAATACAATCTATCCAAACATTATATTCATAAAATGATACAGTATAATACGGTATAATACAATATATTATAAAACGATTGGGAACAATGATCCAAACAGAGTGTTAGTGGTGATTGAGATTGAGAGAGAGGCAATGGGAGCGCGACTTTGTGACTTGTTGAGTGTGTGAAGTAGTGTTTTTCTTTCTTATAAATTTCACACTTTTTTTTTTGGGGTTAAAACTGGATGCATAATTAATTAACAAAAGAAACTACCCGTTAGGGGTTACATGTTCATACTACTAAGTAGTAAGTACTAATTTAACTTTAAGTTGGCATTTTTATTTAATTTAAGTTATACTATATATTATTAGTCTTGTGAGAAATTAATGGATTTTGTTGTTATTATATGTTGTTAGCATTTTTATTTATTTTTATTAATTTAAGTTATAAATACTATTAGTGTAAAAATTATAGTATATTATCAAATATATTAATTAATAACTTGATGTGTATATATCGTTCTGACTTTTTCACCATCAATAAAAGGAACATAAAATCCTTTTTTATTTAAACAACAAAAGTTTATAATTAATCACTTTACATACTTCCCACTTTTAGTTGTTCACTTTGGACTTTTCACGCCCCTTAAAAAATAATAATCGTAGTATGTATTTTACCTTATAACTCCCTCATAATAATAGCATTTCAAAAAGTCTTTGGGAAACAATTAGAAATGAGTAATTAATGATAAGGGTACGCTAGGGAAAAAGTTTGTCTTTTTCTTGATTTGCTAAAAGGACAAGTAAAAATAAAACTATATCTTTAATATGGTGAACAACTAAAACTGAAAGGAGGGAATATTTATATACTTCTGTTTTATACTTCTCTCCTAGAACAAAGACATTAAAGATATACTTTGAACTGAATTCTAGTCTCGATATGTAAATGAATTCGAAGCGCCTGCTTAACTATCATTTGCTAGACTATACTTTGTACAAATTTTGTTTTGTGAATATTATTTAAACTAGTAAAGTCATAACAGACAATAGTAATAAATTATAACATGCTTTTTTTTATAGTTTAGCTTCTTTTTGCCATAAGTTTAGTTGAGATAGAAGGTACAAAAATTATTCTTATATATGTATATAAATGTTAATTTCGCGAACTTGATTAAATCACAATTAAAATATTTTTAATATTATATTGTTGGGCTGTCTAAAATCTCAAACAAGAGCCCAATAGAGTAGTAATTTTGCTTACACAACACTTGGGCCCTGATGGGCTTTTAATATCTTGGCATTGATGGGTTTTTAATGTCTTGGCCTTATGCGTCTTATGTTTTGATGATTTAACAAACTTGTCGTGAAGAACCAGATAGAAAACCTGGCAACCTGGCCTACTAGGTATACACTTCATGTGACTTTGTTAAAGTATGAAAATCAACAAATGGGTGAACAACCACATGGAGGAACACAACAGGGACCTGGTAACCTGGTCCTTTAGGGTTCTCCGACACAAGCACAAGTCAGTGACTGTACGCAATCAATATAAAGAGAAACTGTGACGACCCGGCCGGTCGTCTTAAGAATTTACGCTCCGATCCCCTATTAACTGCTTCCCCTAAGTTCATTTCGGTTATTTTGGTTTGCCGGGACGTTCGGTGTTAAGTTTCGGAGAGTTTTGGGACACTTAGTCCCTAAATGAGAGCTTAAGTGTTGAAAAGTGGTCCGTAGTCGGAACAGTGTGAAGACGACCTCGGAACGGAAATCCGATGGTTCTGTTAGCTCCGTTAGGTGATTTCGGGGTTGGGAGCGTGTTCGGAATGTATTTTGGAAGTCCGTAGCTCATTTAGGCTTGAAATGCCGAAGGTTGAATTTTTGAAGTTTCCGGTTCGATAGTGAGTTTTTGATCCGAGGGTCGGATTGGAATTCCAGAAGTTGCGGTAGTTCCGTTGTGTCATTTGGGATGTGTGTGTAAAATTTCAGGTCATTCGGACGTGTTTTGGTTAGGTTTTTGATCGAAAATGTATTTTTATGGAATTTGAAGTTCTTAGGCTCAAATCATTGATTAATTCGAGTTTCCGACGTTGTTTGAGGTGTTTTAAGGATTGGTACAAGTTTGAATGAGGTATTAGGTGCTATTGGTACTTTTGGTTGTGGTCCCGGGGGCCTCGGGATGATTTCGGGTGGTTAACGGAGGAATTTTGAAGTTAATGCAGCAACTGAATGTCCCTCTTCTGGTATTTTCGCATCTGCGGCTTGGGACCGCAGATGCGGCGCCGCAGAAGCGGCTATGTGGCCGCAGAAGCGGCTTGTCCCCTTTTCCCTTGGAAGCCGCAGAAGCGGTGCCATTTCCGCAAAAGCGGAGCCGCAGAAGCGACCCAGCCATCGCAGATGTGGCCCTGTCCCCTTTAATGAAAACCGCAGAAGCGGTATATTGGTCCGCAGAAGCGGGACCGCAGATGCGGTCCCTTGTTCGCAGAAGCAGAAACACCTGTTCAGAAAAGGGAATTTCGAGGGTTGAGTTTCTAGAGTTGGAAAAATCAATTGAGAGCTCGAGAGAGGGCGATTTTGAGTGGGTATTGAAGAGAAGATCATTGGGTAACGTTTCCTTAATCCCTTTTTGTTGTATTCCATCAATATATAGCTTAATCCATCATCTAATTTCGAAATTGGAATCAAAATGGGGGAAAACTTCTTAGAACAAACTATTGGGTTTTGAGTGAGCATTTGACCTCCGATTTGGGAGATTTTTATACGGTTAGACTCGTGAGAGTACGAGGGTTCTGAAAATTTGAAAATTATTCGATTGCGAGGCGTTGGCCTGAAGGGCATTTCGGTCATTTCACCTAATTTTACGCGCCGTAACTTTGAATTAAATAGCAAAACCAGTTGTTTGCGATGTTATTTACAATGTGTAATTGAATTGAATAGATTTAGGCCATTTGGAGTTGGATACTCGTGGCAAGAGCGTGGTTTCTAGTTGATATTGAGCCGGTTCGAGGTAAGTGGCTTGTCTAACCTTGTGTGGGGGACCTCTTCCCCTTAGGACATGATATTTGATATCTGAAAGCCTCGTACGTGAGGTGACGAGCGCGTACTTGAGCTAATTGTTGAAAATCCGTTTTTACTTGAAGTATTTAAATTGAGTTTTCTTGCTTACCTACTTATTTGAATTGTAAGTTTATCCTATGCTAGTTTAGTTGAGCATGTTTAGTTGACCTACTTGCTTAAGTGCTTAAACTGTCTTGTTTGTGCTACGTGGAATATGTTAGGCTAGGATTTCTATTACTTGTTCTGAGTTTAGCATTTATCCTGATGTTTGGGCTGTTATTGTGTGTTTTAAATTGGGACTACGGGACGGCATCTTGGGAGATCCCCCTGTACTTGTTATGTTCTGGATTGAGGTGCGGGATACCAGGAGAACCCCGGCACATGTAAATGTAAGATTCGAGGATACCAAGAGATCCCTCGTATAAATGATGAGGATACCAAGAGATCCTCGGGATACCAGGAGATCCCTAGTGCATATGATGAGGATACTAAGAGATCCTCGGGATACCAAGAGATAACCAGCTATTACTTCCTGTTGTGAGCAATATTCCTTATATCGTTTTGTTTCTGCTTCCTATTGCTGTTTTCCTTATTTATCCTGTTTAGATTCTCGCTGTAGACTTTATCTATACTGTTTTCCTTATTTCATCATTTATTATGTTTATCTCAGTAGGGCCCTGACCTTCCTTGTCACTACCCAACCGAGGTTAGGCTTGGCACTTACTGAGTACCGCTGTGGTGTACTCATGCCCTTCCTGCGCATGTTTTTTCACGTGCAGATCATCCAGGTACCTCTACTCAGGCGCACTATCCTTGAGGCGAGGAGATACACGGAGCCTTCGAGGTATATCTGCAGCGTTCGCAGACCGAATAGTCTTCTTCTTATTCTAGTTATAGTGCTTTTTTTATTCCTATCATACTTTGATGTAGACATTCTGGAGGCTAGAGTACTTATGGTAATTCTATAAGCCTGTGTTTCTCGTGAGTTTTCGGGTTTTGGGATTGAGTTGTAGACTTCCGCATATCTTTAGAGTTGTATAGGCCGGGTGGCCTTATTTTCAGTTGATATTTTTTCCATATGTTCAGTTTAATTAACGATTCCGCAAGTTAAATTGTTATTCCCGCACTTTTAGGCTTACCTAGTTGTAGGAACTAGGTGCCATCACGACATGTTCATGGAGGGTGAACTGGGGTCGTGACACAAACACTGAGATTGCTACTTCCGTCCGTTCTTTTAAACCTCTAAAAGCCCCAGGCTCGAATGGCCTCCACCCTATATTCTTCCAAAAATTTTGGCATGAAACAAATCATGCAGTAATTCACACTTGTCAACATGCGTTCTCTACTTCCTCTATTCCACTGAAAATTAATAAAACTAACATTACTCTTATTCCAAAATAAATCATCCTGAGTCTATTACTCAATATAGATCAATTGGGCTTTGCAACACGATTTATAAAATTATTACTAAGATTATGGTCAATAGAATTCGCCCACTGATGCCTAAACTAATAAACCCAACTCAAATCAGCTTCAAGGTCGTAGGGCTGCTGATAATGCCATTCTCGTTCAAGAATTAGTACACTTATTTAGGAGATAAAAGGGTAAAATAGGCAACATAATGCTTAAAGTTGACCTAGAAAAAGCTTTTGACCGCTTGGAATTGTCCTTCATCCGCTTCTCACTTCAGCAACTACACTTTCCACAAATACTAATCAATCTCATAATGTCATGTATCACTACTTCTTCCATTTCAATACTTATTAATGGTACACACACCCCTTTTGTTCCAACCTTCCCGTGGTATTAGACAAGGAGACCCTCTATCTCCTTATCTATTCATCATCTGTATGGAATCCTTGTCCCGTATAGTCGAACACAATGTTGATATTTGCCGTTGGACACCCATACAATTAAATAGAAATGCCCAACCTCTCTCGCATCTCATGGTTGTTGACGATCCCGTGTTGTTAGCCAAGGCAACAATGTCCAATACTAAAACCATTATTGAAATTTTTAACGTGTTAAGTGCAAAATCAGGGCAGCGCATCAATTTTCAACAATCTAAATTACTTTTCTCTGCAAATGTAGACACCAACCTTAGTCAATCCCTATCAACATCCCTCAATATCCCAATTGCCACAAATTTTGGAAAATACTTGGGTCTCCCAATCACAATACATCATCCTAAAACATCTGATTATCAATACATTATTGACCGAGTCACCTCCAAATTATCCGAATGGAGATCCAAATTCCTTACCCTTGCGGGGCGAAGCACTCTTGTTAAGTCAGTTTTAAATTCAGTCCCAATTTACCCAATGCAAACTAACTTACTACCACATACAATCATAACACAACTAGAACGCATTCAACGTAACTTCTTATGGGGTTCCTCGGCACAGAAGCGTAAAATTCACTTAATTAATTGGGATACAGTTACTTCTCCTAAATCTAAGGGGGTGTGGGGGTGGTTAGGCATCCAAAAATTAGCCCCAAAAAACAAGGCTATGATCACCAGTCTTCTATGGCGTTACTCCCATTCCACTAACTTCATATGGCCTAACATACTTTCCGCTAAATATAACCATCAAAATACTAATACTAATAATTATTAGTACATATTGCACACACATTCTAATGCCTCCTACATATGGAAAAGCATGATCAAAGTAGCCAAATATTGTAGATCAGGCACAGGCTGGAATGTAGCTCATGGTACTAGAATAAGCCTTCGACGAGATTGTTGGATTGCAAACAATCTTTCTTTACGCCAACTCATCCAAGGTCCACTTCCTATAAATGAACTAAATCAATCGATAACTTCAATTACAACCAATACTTCGTGGGACATTTCCACCATATCCTTCATACTACCCCCACAAATTCAATCCCTAATTAATAACAACGTTATTGACCAATCTCCCCAAGCAAAAAGACACTCCTTATTGGTATCATACCTCAGATGGTATGTTCTCCACATCCTCTGCTTACACACACATCTTGAAGATTGACAATAACTACACTACTGACTTTGCTTATACCTGGATTTGGAATACAACTGCACTACCAAAAATAAAATATTTCTTGTGGTTACTAACTCACAGGAAATTACCTACATCATCGCTCCTTCATCATAGACAAGTCACTAATAACTCCACTTGTCCAGTATGCCATAACACCTGGGAAGACATACCTCACATTTTTCTCTCTTGTACACCAGCAGCCACTTTGTGGCAACACCTAAAAATAAATCCTCCATCATCAAATTACATTGAATGGTTACACAAAATGTGCACCGCCCATAATCCAATTTCACTAAATGCCAATACTGTTGTACCTTCATTCATACTCACTCCAATCATTTTATGGCATATTGGCAAACCGTAATGACAATATTTTTGCTAATACTAAACATCTAATGACCCTATCACCTATCACTACACTAGCAACGTAAACTACTTATTTAACAAACATTTCTGGGAGAAAACAGCGCCTCGTTAAGGAATAAATCACATGGCACAAACCACGTGAGTATCACTACAAACTAAATATTGACGGGGCCTATGACCCGACTTCACATTGTGGTGGAGCAGGGGAAGTCTTTTGTGATTCCTCAAGACAGTGGATCTATGGATTTGTAAAACACATACCAAATACAAATGCACTACATGCAGAACTTTTAGCTCTTCACCAAGGGCTATTCTTTGCCATTAGTCGCCGTATTCACCCTCTAATGGTTGAAACCCACTCTCAGGTATTACTTCAAATTCTACAAACTGGTAGTCCAAAGTTCTCACAAATTGTTTCCAACTGCAGGTCGGTGCTCCATGAACTGAAAGTCCACCATCTCGGGCACATCTATCGAGAGGGCAATGGAGTGGCAGATGCCTTAGCAAAATTTGAAAAACTGACATTGGGTTCAATTACACAAAATATATGCTTTTTGAAGACCCTACTCCTTCTATTTTCATGCAATTAGATTTTAATGTAATTGGCACCAGCACTAGTCGTTGCTTAACTTTTATTAATGCAATTCTCCATTTCAGCGAAAAAAAGAAAAAAACTTTGGCTGCCGTAAAATGAAAAAAGAAAAAAAGAAAAGAAAAAGAGAAAGACAAAGATGAAGAAGCAACCCAATTAGCCCAAACCCTATTAACCAGCACAGTGACTGAAAGACAAGCAGAGAAAGCTTTCATCAGGAACAAACCAGCAAAGATGGACGCAATAAGGAAGCAGCTGGACGTGTTAATGGGAGCGAATCGCAACGGCGACGTCCGTGAGGTCGATCGGAAGTACTACGACCGTGAAGTTTGCCGTCTCTTCCTCGCTGGCCTCTGTCCTCACGAGCTTTTCCAACTCACTGTGCGTAATTGAACACATACACACGCACACGCACACGCACACGCACACGCACACGCACAAGCACAAGCACACACTCTCTCTCTTGCATGTTTCTGTGATTGTATTTTGGAGCTCTAGATTCAGATATGTTAATTTACGCGTGGATGGAGGTTTTGTTTTGTTTCCTTTTTGTTGCTGAAAAAGCTGGAATTATTGTTGAAATAGTAGTTTATTGGCTCTGCTATTACTCTTTGTACTGGAACTGTTGAATGAAAATCGTAGGAAGCTTTGCTGTGAAAAATTATCTCTAAGCGTGAGTATATCTGGGGAGGGGGGGGGGGGGTTACAAGAATAGACTAAGCATTAATTAATCTTTTGGCTGCAAATGTAGTTGTTCCTGAAGGAGCTTTGTTGAACCTTCTTCTATTTTTCTTTTTGATTCCTCTTGCTTTATAATTGTTGAAGTAAATCATTGAAGCTACCTAAAGTATGCATATCAAGCCCTAGATTACAGTTACACTGTAACTGAGTGTGTAGAATTTTAGGGCTGTACTGAGTCTCCTTTGCACAAAGACATATCAAGCCCTATGCGTGATACTTGTTAGTGCTTTACAATCTGAAGACTCAGACATTAGGTTCCCTGTTTCTTTGGGAACATCTTTCGAGTATTGGCATTTCCCTTTTTGGTATTGATATTTTCTTTTACTTCCATATTTTTTCATTTTATGTGATGATATTACCGGGCTCGAGGTTTAACATTTTAATTTGGCTAATATAATATTTGTGATGATTAACAATATTAAAGTATTGGTTAAAAGAATAGATTATATCACATCAAAGTTAAAGTGTTTAAGTGTGTAATATAAAGAATGTAACTTCTTGAGAAGTGTGAAAGTTGTATTGACTAGAATGGTGTAAAACAGTTTCGAGTGCCCCAAAAATAGGAGTGTTGCATGATTAAAGTGACGGAGTACCTTTTCTGGTTTTTGAATCTTAAATTCTTTTGAAATGGTTTTTAAAATTACTCTTGTTGACTACTATGAGCATGCCCCGTTTTAAACATTGTGAATGAGTTACATGTAGCTCGTATTCGCCATGTCTATCTAATGTGGTTAAAGGCTTGTTTGAGGCGCGCTTAAATCCTAAAACTAGGTGAATCTAAGGGTGGGTCTTCACCTAGTTTGGTTGAGGCTTTAGGGAAGTATCGGTGTGATAAGATAAGCATCTCATCGCAATGGGTCCTATCTTGAATTGAGAGGCACTAAATGGAAAAAAGACATTTTAATTGTTAATGAGACATTATCAATAAATTTATTACTTATAAAAAAGAATAAAAAATCTAAGATAAGAAAACATTCACTTAACGACCTATTAAAAACAGTCACTCAACTGTGTTTTAAGAATGGTAAGGTTTAAAACAGTCACTTAACTTGTATTTAGAAACTTGAAACCTATGTTACTCGGTCTTTTCAAAAATGTTGTTGGGTACGTGTCGGATCCTCCAAATTTAGTGCATTTTGGAGGATCCGACACGGGTGCGACAACACTTTTGGATAGTGCGAGCAACATAGCTTGAAACTACATCTTGTGCATCTAATTCAAAATTTTAACTAGGTTTTTGAAGTTAACTTACATGTCCTTTTTTTGTATCATCAAGAAATCTCCGAGGGCTATGTTCAAAACTTGTTGGATAATGTCCCCGCTCCTCTGCCCTTTTCCATTTAAATACCAAGCTTTTATCTGTGCCAGGGCTCGAACTCGTGAAGTGCACCTACCTCTCACATCACGGACTGCGCTGTTGCCACTAGACCAAAGCCCTGGGGGCAATTTAAATGTCTTTTTACTTCATATACATATCACTAAAGTGTAGTTTTTGTTTTTACTTTGACGATATAATTGTTTTTTTCTATTGCATTCATATGCAGTATTTGGTGTCTTCATTGCACCTTTATTTATTAAAACTCGTGTGTTAATTCCGCATTGCACTTAAAGCCTCAACAAGATTTTGAGCACTTTTCTATGCTTTTGGGCTTACTCTTAGGTTTTAAGGGCTTTGTTTGAATCTCCTCACATGCTATACTAGTACTAAAGCTTATCTAGCTACCATTTAAAAAAACTTGCACATCCTTTTTCCTACATTGCATTCGCTTTGTGTCTAAAGGAACATAAGCTAAACACTTACGAGTAATAAGAGGTCAGTCATAGCATAGTGAAATCTAATGAATAATCAGTAATCCATTAGTGCTGATGTTTTCTCTCTCTAAAGCATAGAACTTTCTTTTCAACTTGAACTTTGTATTTAATACTTCTATTGACAATACCTTCTTCCAAGTAAAATCATTCATTACTGAAGAGGTGATGATTATAATCTTAGTTAAAAAATATACAACAATTTGGGGTGGGGGTGGGGAGTTTGGGGGGGGGGGTTTCAATTTTGTGCCTTGATCTAGACCTGCTTCTGCTTTCTGTATTTTGCAATTGATTGTAGCATTTTGTCTTTTCTTTCTTTTATGATGTAGTATCGAGAAGGTGTTTTCTAAAAAGTACAAAAAAGTATTACAAAGACTTTATTGCAACATTTTCTTCATCGAGTCTACTAACTCAAAAGATGCTCAATATCTTCTGATCTATATTCCTTGCACCAGATATATAAGCTATGTATGCATTTGTTTAACAAAGTATAGATATTGCATCTTTGCCTCTGCAATTGATTGTAACATTTCTTATATGGATCTGTGCAGAAAATGGACATGGGGCCATGCCCTAAGCTGCATTCGTTGCAGCTGAGGAAAGAGTATCCTTTTTCTGTTATGTTTATGCTATGATTTGCCAAATATTTCATTTGATTTCGAGGTGTGATTAACTGATTATGTATTCATATATGCTGGTAGGCTAGCTTGTCAGAATCTTTTTAACTATCTAATGTTGTTTCTTCATGTTTTTTCTGTCTTTTTTGTCCTTTTATGTTTCCTTCTAGTTTATGGTAAAGCAAAGGTTGATGCTCCCCTCACCCCTCTTCCCAAAAAAAGAAGAGAAAAAGAAAGAAAGAAGAGATAAAAGAAAATAATGGAATTTTTCATCTATCCTGCAGAGCTTCATTGATTGTATTAGCAGTAAAGGAAAACTGTGAGGTATTAATAAGTGGTCTGCTTACGCACTTGAGAGGGTCAGTTATTGGGTTGGCTAAGTAAACCCCCCCATCCCTCTTGATATTGAGAATATTAATTGTCCAAGGTGCTCACATTCAAACATCCTTCTCCTTTCTGTCTTAAGAGTATTCCCAAGTAAAAAGAAATGTAGTGCTTTTGTTTCTCTTGGTATCTAGAATAGTAGCCGTCCAAGGTGCTAACTTGTCATTTTTAATTGAAGTGTCAACATTATACCTTGCTTTTGCGACCCCCAATTGCTTAGGGGTCGCACTCTGTCCCGCTTGGTGGACGAAATCTTCTCTCCTTTTAGAATTCTTTCTCCCACACACCTTTTTTGCCCTCTTTCACCGAGGAGGAAAGAATACCTTTAATATTCTAGCGCCTTTTGTCTTGCCTTAACTCTGTTCAGCTATGAGGAAGCAAAAGCAAAAGGTCAAGATAACTATGATAGAGACTTGGAGGATGTAATAGATAGGCTGATTATTGAATGTGATCGAAAAATAACTAGAGCCCTTAAACGACTAGATGAGGAGGATGCAAAAGCTGCAATTGCCATATCAGTATCTGAAGTTACTCAGGTAATGGTAGAATGTTGGGCTCTGACATTAAGTAACTTCCTTTTATTGGTCTTTGGTACTTACTTTCCCTCTTTTGCTTTTAGTCAGTCACAATTACACTTGCTTAAATGGCAGGCACCTGAGATCGTTGAGCTGTCAAAGCAAATTAAAGAGAAGTTGAAAGAAGCTAATCGCTTTGGTAAGCCCTTTAAGGCCTCATTTCTTTTTTTAAAGATTAAGACGTCTGAATCTGAATGCCCATCTGGATATTAAGATGTGTATTAAGATTAAAACGTGTGAATTTGAATATACATCTGAATATTAAGATGTGTATTAATATCCGAATATTAAATGATTAAGACTGTAATCTAAATGTTTAAAATTTATTCTTATTTCAAAATTAAAAAATAGAAAATTTTAAAAAAATACTACTCCCTCTATTTCAATTTAAATGACATACTTTCCTTATTAGTCTGTTCCAAAAAGAATGACGCATTTCTATATTTGGAAACAATTTAACTTTAACGTTTTCATTTTACCCACTTTACCCTTAATGAGAAGCTTTTATAGCCATACAAATGTCATGACCCTACTAAACTTTTGCCCTTAGGACCAAATATATCAAAAGTCTTTTTTTTCCTTAAACTTTGTGTTTGCAATGAATTTTCAACATACGAAAAATATACTGCAATCACAAAAGAATAAAGTGATTTTATTGATAAACATTGCGGGTTACAACTCTGTTTATCCCTTGATTCTTCCTCCGAATTGTTCTCCGTGATTCGAGGGTGTAGGATGATACGGACCTCTCTCGATTATTTGATCTCCATGAAAGTCGATCATTGTATGTATATTCTTCCTGAAGTATTTGATTATCAAGAAGAACATCTATTGATCACGGCATTATTTTATGCCTTAGATCCCTTTGAAAATTTATGGGATTTTTTGAGACGCCTCGTCAAGGGAATATGTATCCCTTTATATAGGTGTGTGTTAGGGTTTAGGGTAGAGTAACCTCCAAGAAACTCTGATAGACTCCTGGGATTTCAAGAGTCTTGTCATATCTTGAATTTAGGATTTAGCCTGATCCTTTAAAATTTCGATGTCTACACTTTGTACCAAGTCAAACTATATCATCTAAATTGAAACGGAGGGAGTAGTTAATTTAATGTTCTGTTAATATATTTTAAAAAAATAATAATATGGTAGTTGGTGGTGATGATGGCTGACTGTGGCACTTATGGATGCCGACTGGAGGTGGTGGTTGGTGGTAGTTTTGATTGATGGTGGTGGTTCTAGGTAGTAACTAGTCATGATTTGTAGTGGTAGTTATGGTTGAGGAAGGTGGTGGTGGTTGGTGGTGGTAGTTTATAATGGTAAACAATGGTGGCTATGGTTGATGATGGCGGTTGGGTGGTTGATAGTGGTAGTTGAGGTGGTTGGTTGTGGTTGAGGATAATGGTGGTGGCATTAGTTGATAATGATTGGGGGGAGGGGGTTAGGCGGCGGTAGTCGATAATGGTTGGGTTGGAGCTGATGGTAGTTGATAATGCAGTGGCGGCTATGGTTGAGGATGGTGGTGGTAAGTGGTGGTGTTTGATTTTGGGGGTAGTCGGTGGTGGTGGTTGAGTGTGGTGCATGGTGGTAGCTGATAATGGTGGGCGGTGGCGGCGCTTGGTAGTGAATGTGGATAATAGCATCTTAATGAAATTAAGTCTCTGTTATAAATCTTAATCAACGACCTATTTAGACCCATTAAGTGGCTGGGAAATAAAAAAAACAAACACACTTAATGATTAAGATCTGAATAATTAAGATCCAGATTTAAAAAACAAACGTACTTAATATCCGAGATATGAATGAAGATTCCGACCTCCATTAAGTACAAACAAATGAGGCCTTTTGTTAGTCCCTGGTGCAAGGACATTCATCAAGCAAATCAGCATGGGCATGTTCTCTTGATGTGTCATGTTACCAGTTTATGATTAAATCTCACGTGTTGTAAGTCATGATATATATGAAATATTATGAATTGGCTTGCCCAATCTATTTACTCTGTGCACACACGAAACTCTTTAAGGGAATATTGTAGACTTGAGAGCCAATGCTGATATTATAAGATGCCTCAACTTTGCCTCAAAGTATCAGCTCTATGAAGGTCAGGTTTCATGGTAACATCTAGTCCTCTGTGGTCGCTGATAAAGGGTGGCAAATGGGCAGTTTGGGTTGAGTTTGGGCGGGTCAAAATGGGTTGAAGCAAGAAATGGGTCATTGCCCAACCCTGCCCAAAGCTTACTTGCGTTAAGATGAGTTAGGTCAAAATGGGCTAAAAAATAGGTTGTAGCCCAACCCACCCAACTTTTGTATATTCTTTCAAAGACACTAAACATTATTCAAATTACTTAAATTGACTAAAATAATACACTTTATAAGATCCATAATTACATTAATATCGCTACCGTCCTATTTGATTTGCTGTTTTTTTTTTCCTGTTCCTTTAAACTTGTCTCTGGCAACAACGGAAAAAAAATTGTTTCTTCTAATTCGTTTGAAATAATGAATATTTACATGTGGTAAGTATAGTCTTTGGTTCACGGTTATGCCTTTGACATTTTATTTTCGATAAATTGGTCAATTTGAAAGTTAACTGTTAAAATAAAGGTATATGTATATTCATATTCAAGCAATCATAATATGGGGCATTTACATTAGAAGATTGGAATATAAGAATAAAATTGAACCAAAAATGCTACCCAAGATCACCTTGTATCCTTATTATAGAAGTTATTTATTCTTCTCAATAGGCACTAATACATTTATTTTGTAAAATAAATACAAAAGCATATACTTGGACAATAATATAATCAACAGGTTGACTAGGTAGTTACTGGTTCAAGTAATTTAAAAAGAAGAAAATAGGGTCAGTTTAAAAAAGGTTGACTAGGTAGACCTGGGATTTGTTCATTGAAGAAGGAAGAAGAAGAAAGTTGAAGTGACAAAGTTGAAATCTGATATGGACTTTTGCTATTCATGGGTCAGTTTGGGCTAAAATGATGGGCTGCTTTGGGCTAATTAAAACCTGGGCGGGTCAAATGGGTTTGGGCTACTTCTGCCACCCCTATAGCTAACTAGGAAAATGCATGTTTCATTGGATCTTGTCTCGTGTTAACTTAGTAAACACGTGTTCTTACTGATGAAGTAACTATCTGGAAATTGTAGGAAATATATAGGTTTGATCTAGGATGTAGCTTTATTAGGCCTTTACAGAAAATGGATATAGATTCATTAGAAACTTAGAACTGAAAAGAAGAGGAGCAGGAGGTGTAAAAATTACAGAGATTGGAAAAGCAATGTGATGCATGTGAAATAGGATATCTTATAATAGGAGGCTAGTAGGGTTAGTTATGATGTAAATAGGTTACTGAGGCGGAGTTCCTTGCTCTGAAGGGCGAATGTACACTTTGATGTAAATGGTTTGCATCTCTAGGATGCTGGTTCTAAAAAAGTAACTCATCAAAAAGGCAGTGATAAATTTGATTGTAACATAGGTATCAGATGAATAAAATAAGCGCTACTTTGTTTTATGAACTTCTCTACATGAAAGAGAAAGGTGCTGCCTTCTAGTTAGATAAGTTTTTAAATGATCTATTTCCTTGCAGATTTTGAAGGCAAGGCAGATATGAAGATTCGAGCTTTGGAAGAGGTCGAGGAACTTAGAGCAAAGAGGGCAGACAAACAGGTGCCGAGGGGAATTCAAGACATTCAATTTCCTTTTCCAATAAGTCAATTCAAACAATAATTCATTACATGTTTAAACTTCCTCGGCTAAAAATTTATATCACGATACTGTTCCCTTTGCTTCAGTCAATTCTTCTTTTGGAGGCTTTTAACAAAGACCGAGCATCTTTACCTCAGCCCCTTCAGAATGCTCCACAATTAGCACCCTTGCCTGCTGCTACTCCAGATCCTCGCATACAAGAAATTATAAATGAGAAACTGAAGAAAGCAGAAGATCTCGGTATGTACCAATTTAATATCTATATAACCATGAAGTTCTTTGTCTATGACCTACTTATTTTGCACCAAGTCTTCGTATTTCTTTATTAATACACTTTCTCAGGCTGACTATGTTTGGATCTTGTGAAATCCTGTTGATTTTGGTTCATGTCCATGAGTGTTTCAATGGCAATTTGAGAAGTAAAGTAACTACAGGAACAAGAGTGACTAGTTTGGCTTTAGAAGCATCTTAGTGACTACTTTTGAATGGAAATTGATTCAGTGAGTAAAGTAGAGGATAGGCATGGACAAATTTTATTCCCAGTCAGTTATTTGTTCTGATACCTTGACATTCTACAGCATTTCTTCATTGTGGAACCAAATGAGATGGTGATGTGCACAGGTCAATTTTGAAGCAGAACAGGGATCCTCTGATCTCCATTTTCTGATGGAAAAGCATTTATAGGGAAAAAGGGAAAAACAGAAATGATCGACTGATATCTAAAGAAATGTGTTAACAGATATTGACTAAAGACAAAATTATCAGAAGAAAAATTGACTTAGAAGAAGATTAAGCCCAATGTGGAAGAATTTTGCTTTTGTAAACCTCAGATGATATCTACTGTTGGTACTTTATCTGAGCAAAATGCTGCATAGCTTTTGCTCATATTTTTAATTACTTTCTGGTAACTTTTTTCTGATCAATTACTTTATTTTGATATTTTGCCCTCATTGTATTTAGGTGAGCAAGGGATGGTTGATGAAGCTCAAAAAGCATTAGAAGAGGCTGAAGCGCTTAAGAAGGTTCCGGGCAATTTTGTTCTCGTGTTGTGCTTGTTTATGAACTTTTGATGCTTTAGTTTGCCTCTCTTCCCTTTCTCTATTTATGAGTTTCTAGTCAGTGCTATGTTCCTAACTATCTTCTTTATTCAGCTGCCTGCGAGACAAGATCCTGTTCAGGATTCCTTAAAGTACACTGCAGCCGATGTGCGGATCGTATGTCAATTTTCTCCATCTCTTTTAGGCGGTATTATTGTGTATGAATTATATCTTTGTTGCAAACCAGAAATAAATAAATAAATGTGTTCTATCTCGAGCTGTTTAAGCTTTTAAGTTAGGTGGTACACACTTCATCGCAGTATTAGAGCAGAGATTTTGTGTTCAAGTCTCACTACCCACCTATTGAATTGTCCAGGAAAAAAAAGGAAGAATGAGGCAGCATGTGACACAGCATGCTGTAGACCTAAAGTACATGAATAAAATTGTTCTAAAAGCTTCATATTGTCTTTTCGTCTTCTTGAGCCGAGGGTCTTTCGGAAACAGCCTCTCTACCCCATCGGGGTAGAGGTAAGGTCTGCGTACACTACCCTCCCCAGACCTCACTTGTGGTACTACACCGGGTCGTTGTTGTTGTTGTTTGTTGTATTAGGTTAAGCTTTTAGATGCAATGGTCAGAACACTTTAACAATCTATCTAATGTATTTTTGTTAATTCTGAATCTTCCCTGGGTGTTTATCATAAAAATCGTAATTTCAGTTTGAGAATCTATTTTACCAATTCATGAAGAACGCCCTCAATGAGACTGTGTGGAATCCTTATAAAAGAAAAATAGAGACTATTCTATGGATGGAATGGTTGGGGAATGGGGTGTTGAATCTTACCTTTTGAATTTTAAAACAGTTTGCAGTGGTTACATTCTCTTTTTAGGAAAGCTAAGAGCTTGGTTGGATTTTGTAGCATCATTCTGTTTCATTTTCCAAGAAATTTCTGTGGAGGAAGAGTTCTGCATTTTATTTGGCTTGCTTTTTTGCTTTTTCTCAGAGGACTTGTTCGGTTAGCTAGGGAATTTGAATTGAGGAAAAATCGAATAGGATCCAATTGACCAGTAAAAGTGCTAAGTTTCAGCTCAAATAGAAAGGAGAAATTAGAACAGAGTGAATTAAGAGCCTTATGGGAGCTTAGATATGTATGTTTTATGAGGGATGCACTTCGCAGACACATACACACACACCCCCTCTCTCTCTCTCTCTCTCTCTCTCTCTCTCTCTCTCTCTCACTCACACACACACACACACACTCAAGAGAGAGGGAAAGGGGGAGGGAGAGATGAGTCAAAACAGTTTTTGAAGAGTAAATTTAGACTTTGTGCTCCAACACACTGCTCCAAAGAAGACTATGGGAGCTTAGATATGTGTGTTTTATGAGGGACGCACTTCGCAGACACACACACACACACACACACACTCTCTCTCTCTCTCTCTCTCTCTCTCTCTCTGTCTCTCCCTCTCTCACACAAACACACGTACACACACTCAAGAGAGAGGGAGAGGGAGAGGGAGAGGGAGAGAGATGAGTCGAAACAATTTCTGAAGTGTAAATTTAGACTTTGTGCTCCAACACACTGCCCAAAGAAGACTTTTTAGTTTTTACAGCTTCTCCCTAATTGGGCCACAGGTGCAGAATAATGTTGTGTTTTGTTTGAACTGGTAACTTTTTGAAAACAACAGAATTTGTCCATCCTCCCACATGGGCTAGTTTGTGCACTGTGTTTCCGTAATTTTCACTGGAAACAATAAAAGCCAGGTTTCTTTTGGGCCTGAGACGATAAATAAAATGAATGAATCATTGATTTTCTCTTGAATTACTAAAACATTGCCTTGAATTGGGACGTATACAGTATGCTGAGTATTAGCAAAATGTGCTTGCTTTCATGATGTTTGTGCATATGTTCCTTTTAACTTGAGAAAATGAAGTCCTTGTATGGAGTTACCAATCCTGATATGTTGATTACTTTTGCAGACTGATCAGAAGCTTCGCGTATGTGACATTTGTGGTGCATTCTTAAGTGTTTATGACAGGTGAATGTTCTTTTTTCTATTTTCTTCTTTCTGGAAGATCTACCTAGTAGCTTTTTAGGAAAGACGGAGGGCTACTTTGGAGTTTTGAGTACTTCAGTATTTAACATGGCGATTGTACCTCCTTGTCACCAGCAGGGTTTGGGCCCAGTTTTACGAGGATAAACTTTTGCTGCTAAATAATGTGCGTCTTTTTCTGTATTAATTTTATCAATCATGCTATCCTTAGCTAGAAAGTTGTGGGGCAACTGTTATTGTTACAATCTTGTGTTAAAAGCAATTGGATTCAGAGCCAAGAATTACCAGTTGTGCTTGCTTTGCTTTTCTCCTCAGTGATAGACGCTTAGCTGATCACTTTGGAGGAAAACTTCATTTGGGTTATATACAAATCCGTGAAAAGTTGGCTGAACTTCAGGTAAGATAAAACTATTTACTTTCCATTAATCCTTATCTTGCTCTTGTTTTGTGAGAAGGCAGCTATATGATTTATAATATTTATTAAGGGTATTGTGTTCTTGTATATATCTGTTTGGAGAAAATATCTGTTTGTAGAAAATGGTGCTTGACTGCGTGATGTGATGTGTTTGATCTATTAAGAATTTCGGATGAGCATTTTTAGCAAGTAGCTAAACTGGGTAATCTGAACATTTTGATTCAGGTGCTGGTATATTGTTTCACTTTCTTCTATAGAGATTCTCAGTGTATATGATCTGTGAGTTTTCTATCCTCGGAGAAGAGTGTATCTTGACTTCTTAGTTATCTTGTTGTACTCTTTGATTTGAGATTAATGGTAACTAAAAGTAAGCTGCACAGCATTGTTATTGTTCCTGATGGAGTTTGAAAAGAGACATAACTTCTCTGTGAAATTCATTAGCAGCTACATTTGAACAGTTTTGGTACTCGTAATGGGGAAAGAATTTCAGGCGGAATAGATTTGTTGCATGAACTTGATTTTCCTGAGAGCAGAAGACAATTAATAAGTATACAATGGATATGCCTGTGCCCTAGGTGAAATATCAATTATTTAATGCATGTTTTAAAACATATATTAATGATTTGTGTTCCTGCCACTTTCTGATGGATAGCAGTAAAATCACTTAGTAGCTCAATCACTCTGTGCATACCTGCAGTAATCACTTAGTCGCTTAATGCATTGTTGCAAGTTGATCCTTGCTTTGATCTTTTCTTTTTTTTTTTTTTGCGTGTGTATAATTTATGAGTCATGTCAGAGCATGGTACAATTTATTTGCCAAAGAAACTCAGTGTATCCTGTATGATAACTGAAAATTGGGTTTCATCCTTTTTGTTGCTAGATAAGACTATCTCCTTTAATTTTGTATGGTCCAAAACATTTATGATATCTGTGAATTGATGTGGCTTCTGGAATAGGATGGTTAAAAGCTAAGGCTTTGGTAACAGGTTTAATTTAGTTTTTTTTTTTTAAATACGTTGACTAGTCAATAACTGAAGGAAATCATCGCATTTTATAGTTGCACGTAGGAGTGGCAAACGGGCGGTCGGGTCGGATATAGGTGGGTCGAAAACGGATATGTAAAAATGGATAAATTATCCGACCCAAACCATATTTAATACGGATAAAAAAAGGGTTAACCGGCGGATAATATGGATATCCATATTATCCATGACTTCCTGAATATGATCACTTTTGGGAGAATTCCTAGTCTCCCAAACTTGAGGACCTCTAATTTGAGGCTTTGCAAATGTAAAAGTCGAACCCATTAGTTATACATTGTCTAATGTTATTATGTTTCTTATCCATATTTGACCCGTTTTTAAAAAGTTCATTATCCAACTCATTTTTTAATGGATAATATGGGTGAATAACTGTTTTCTTTTAACCATTTTGCCACCACTAGTTGCACGTCTTTTGTTTGAATGCTTTCTTTTTGGTTGAATATATCCATTGTATTTTCACTGGCTGTAACGTGTGTGAAGTTGTGATATGCTTCAATCTTTTCTCTCAATGACAAATTGTCAGGAAGAAAGAAACCAAAAGCGAAAGGCCTGTGAAGAAGAGAGGAGGTAAAGTTAGATTACCTTTTCAATGTTGTATGCTTTTTTTGCACTTTTCCCCTCTCTATATATATATGTTCGGTTTTATTTGTTTAGTTCAAGTCTTTACTGTTACTATGTAGATCAAAAGAGAGTAGAAGCAGGGAGCGTGGCAGAGAATCAAGCAAGGATCGAGGTGATAGCCGTGAACGAGCGAGGGATCATGATCGTAAGAGCAGGGACCGTGACAGATACTATGACCGAGATTGCAGTTATGAACACGAGCGTGACAGAGATAGAGACCGCTCTCGCAGGAGATCACGATCACGGTCAAGGGATTATGATCGTCACAGGTTTTTATTTTTTGAACTGCTACATAAAATGCATTATGGTGTTCTATGTTTTTTTTTTTTTTTGAGTTGTAGCCAGGAGGTATCAATATACTGCATGCCAAGTAGCTTTGAATTCCAAAGAATTAACCAAAATAGCATCCCACCTAATCTCTTAAACTAAAAATAGCTGGCAGATGTATAATCTATGTATACCTGCTAGAATAAGCAAACATTGAATTTGGCCGGCTATATGTGTAACAACCCCTTTGAATTCCTGGTGGAAATGTTTGAGTGTCAAGAAAGGGAACTGCATACAACAACAACCACCAAGTAAAATCGCACAAGTGGAGTCTGGGAGGGTTCAGTGTACGCAGACCTTACCCCTACCCCGGAGGAGTAGAGAGGATGTTTCCGAAAGACCCTCGACTCAAGAAGACGAAAAGAGACAGTGGATCCGTAACAAAGGGAACTGCATACTATATGATTAAAATAGGATAAGCTAATCCCTCGAGGATGAACTATATTCTTTTATGATGCTCATTTTTTTTTTGTGGTATGGTGACTTGGGTCGGTGACTTCGGTGTGGTGACTTGGGTTGGTACTGCGCACTCCTTTAGTTGGACGGGTATGAATGACACAGATCTTTAACTTATCTTGAAGTGATGTTTGGTGAGGATGGGCTCCTTGGGGTAGCATACAAAACCTTCCATTTGGGAGGCACTGTTGTTTCTGGAGATGTTTTGTTTTAAGATTTTCGCACTGAATATCAAGCTACATTCAGTACTTTTTGAAGAAGAAATTATTACGTAGAGCAAGGGACGGGGAAGGAGGACAGTGAGAACCTTACCTTACCTATCATTTCACACCAGTTTCAGTAGACTATTGATCTACAAATACACTTTTAAGTATGTACTAGCAATACATGGTGATGAGGTCATTAATTCGTTCAAGCTATTGCATATAGCAATTGCAATTACATATTTCTAAATGGTTACTATTTTTGTCTGTTATCTTCAGGCGTTATGATCGCTACTAGGTGGAAGCTGCTGTTCCGGGGCTAATTTGTATCTTGTTGGTGGATGCTCACTAGCTAGCTGTTTTAGCATCTAATATGATGTCACTTCTTGGTCTCCCAATTTAGAAAGACATGTCAGATGTCACATATATAGCTAGCTTAATTTTGTGGTTGTGGACATTATATGTAGTGGTAGAAAGAAATTTGATGTTGATCTCTTAATGTTATCGTACATTTTATGCTGCTTTCATATTCTAGTAAAATGCAGGATTTTGCAGTTTGACTCTCCTACCCCACAGATTGTACGCTTTTCTGCAGGGAATTATACGCAATGAATTAGTCATTAAAAGACGAGACGTGTAGTGAGTGGAGATTAACTGCATGATTATGGGTTGCAAGCAATAGATGTTTGGAAATCTGATAAAGTTTAAAATAGATTTTAGAAATGAGTTCCTTTTTCTAAATCGATGGGGACTTCAAAAGGGTCCCAAGCTTAATTAAACTTGCAAGAGCCGTCAAACATTGCTACCGGTTGTCATGCAGTCAGTTATCTGTCAAGATTTTGAGAATCTTTGCAGTTTCCACCTTTAATGAATGCCTCCTTTTTTTTTAATAATCAAAGCTGAACATAGAGTCTTGCACATTCAATGTATGCCTCATTCTGGAAATTGTACTTTTTCTCTTCTTTTTTCCCCTTAAATCATAATAATAATGATAATCTAAATGCACAGCCATTGTATAAATCAGATATGTATTGCTGGGTGTCTCGATGGCTATACCATTTTCTATAAGATGGGAATTCCAAATAGCTGCTCTCTTTATTAGTTCCCACCAGTTTTCTATAGTCAGAAATTAGTTGCATCCTCCTGGCTCCTAGAAGAAGATGACAACTAACAATGGTAAAAGAACAGCTACCTTCAACAGATCATCCTGTCCACAACCTGATAAAACCCGAACCTTTTTTCTTGTCCTCGATCTCCTGCAGCAGAGGCTTGACGGCCTAATGAATTCGTGCTAAATAATTTGTAAAAAATAATTGATGAAAGAGTATACTGAAAAAGAAAACGACATATAAATAAGAGATAAACCTTCCAACTAGCTGAAAAGATTGTACGGAGCATTCACAATGCAGTATGTAAGTACTCTCCTCGGGCACGTAATTTAGGTCATCAATGGAGGAAATTATTGTCAATAGCTGAATGACGGAAATAACGTTAAGCTAATATAATTTGCTCCAAATATTAAGGCAGCAATGGTTCCAAGATCATTCTCAAACAAATTGTTTACCCTCAAATTCGGATAACAATTAAACATATATTGTGGTTTTAAGGATATGTGATTTCGTCCAATACCAATTGATAAGCAAGAAAATAAATGAATAAATTAGAGAATAAAATAAATCAAACCAGTATGCTAGCCAAGTCTCGACCTCGACTTGGGGTATTCTCGAGGTGGGATAATAAGAATAGTAAATGATAAAGCAACTCTGATGAACAATAAGTGAAATAACAGGAAAGTAATGGGTGTATATATTCTTGTTAATGAACAATAATGATGCCTACAAATGAATGGGATCCCTCTTTATATAATAGAGGAGTCCTAAATAAGGTACACTTCTAATTATAGTAGGAAACCATATTAACATCTGATTAACCGCCGTAGATTGATCCGTTCCGAGATTCACGCTACGATCCTCGACCAATCGTTGATGTCTCGCCTTTTCCGTTATCAAGCTATACCGATGTCACTCGAAGTCTGTCTCTTTCTGGCCGCAATCGGTGTTGATCTCGGTCCGGACTCGACGTCCTAGCTCTTTGACGCGACATTCCTATCTCGACCAAAGAATGAAATCGGGTAGCCCAGATTTCTACCGTATACAGATAGTCCCCTCGTTTCTTAGAGTAAAACGATAAGAAACGACTTGAGCCTCGATTTTCTGGAGACCCCGATAAGTGATGTCATCCCCGTGACGTAAGCGATTGAGGTGACCGAAGCGTCCCGTCGGTACAGTTCCCCAAATTATTAATGCTTGCCAGTGGACGGTCGACCACTAGCACCACCGAATCGTCGCCGTAAATCTATAAATACAGGCTCTTTGGTTGAATCAAAATTTTACTTTCACCTCCACCAAGTTTTCTAAGCCTCTTACTCTCTCCATCTCTTCTCTTTCACCACCCGTTAAGTCAACTTTGTTAGTACCAAAAATACTAAATTTCACCTCTTTCCGCTTCCTTCTACCTGAATCAATGGCAAAAACCTCCAAGACCGCCCCAAAAAGGAGAAAGCTTCTTCCTCTTCTTCCCGGCCGGCCGGTGACAAAACGTCGGTGGAACCACTCACTCACAAGTATGTTCCCGGCCCTTGTGTATTAAAATCCGACTTCAAAGTCGAGAACCCTCCATCGGTCCCTGGCCGATGTGAACACGTGTCGAGATACATCTGCTCGATAACAGCGGTCCATCTAGAGGTTGTGAAGAGAGACTGTAACTGGGGGCCGAGGTCGTGGTGCAAATCCTTGGTCCCGAAGAGAGTATTACCACCCACGTGGAGGGGTTTCTAAGTGTCTACACTTACCCCTTCACATTCGGTCCTCTCGACCCAGTTATCGTCGACTTTTGCAAGAGGTACCAGGTCACCCTCGGCCAGGTTCATCCCTCGTTCTGGCGTATAGTGATCATGCTCCGCTTATTTTCTAGCAAGGCCGAGGGGTTGGAGTTCACTCTCAGCCACCTCATGCGGTTACATCGACCTCGACTTTTTCGAGGGTTGATCAAGCTCCAACGCCGCGCAACGAAGACCTTGTTCGCGAGCGTCGATGAGGACAAGGACCGGGGTTGGATGAGCCTGTTCTTGCGGGTAAGGACCTTCCACCTCATCCCAGAGGAAAAACTACCATTCCCCGAGAAGTGGAACCCCGATCGTAAGTAACGTATTACCCATTAGTCTTCGTACTCCATTTTTTGCTTTATGTAATGCCTTCATCTGTTATGCAGTGGTTGCCTGGATGCCCGGAGCAATCCCGGACCTCGAAAGTTGGGTTCAGAAGCTGGCTTCGACTTCCACACATGCCGAGCGCTCGTGGTGCGATTTAGCGAGGGACCGATGGGAGTCCAAGAATCATGGTGAGCTTATCTTGTACGCTTTCGATGCTTTTTTCTCAAGCATTTCTTTTTATTTACACTTGAATCCCTTTTATGCAGGCCTCGGGGATGTTGCTGAAATGAGGCCGAACCCGCCTGGGGAAGAGGTGGCTCCCAAACCGGCTAAGGACAAAAAGAGAAGGGCCTCGCCTTCTGCTATCCCGAAGCCTAAGAAGAGTAAGGCTCACAAGCCGAAGGATGACTCCGCTGCTGCTGCCGTAGCCCAAAAACTATGAGATGAAGAAGATGAGGGGGAAGATGCTGGTAGCGAGCTGGTGGCTCGAAAGAAGGGAAGCACTGAAGCTTCAAAAGCAGCTGAGCCGGTGATGGTTGAGGAAGCTCATCTTCGGACCAAAGAGATCTTGGAAGATGGTCCGAGCAAAGTCCCCGAGTCATCGGGGGCCGAAGATATCTCCTGACGTGACGAACAACCGGCGAGTGTGCCCGAAGGGTCCGGTCCCGAGGCCCTTCAAAAGGGAGAGAGTGCCTCAAGTGACTTGCTTGGGGCAATCAATATTGACTATTCGCCGCCCGGCCCCACATTTTCTTAAGCCAATTTCGGGAGGCTCGGTATATGGAGACCCTCGATGTGGGAACGACCCACGAAGGGAAAGACATATTCCGAGGCTGCCTTGCGGGGGTTGACGATGTTTCCAACCTATATGCAACGATCATTTTTGACGAGGCTCAGTGACTCCTGAACCAGGTAAATTTCATCCCCCGTTATTACGTTTGCTTTTATTTCCTTCTATCTGATTTCTTTCCTTTCTCCATAGGCTGTGACGCTTCATCGGGAAGCGTTCACCAAATCCCAAGCCGAGTTGAACCGGTGTGAGACCGATTTCAAAAGGCTCATGGAGGAGAGAGACGCCCTCGAATGCCTCAATGTGCAGAAAGAAGAGGAGATCAAGGACCTCCGAGCTGAATTGGCAACAGCCCATAAGAGGCCGACCGACCTCATCGAGCAGGTAATGTAAATTTTCAGGAGCTTGACATATCAATTTGATATTGGTGACTAACACTTAGATCCTGCAGGTTCAGCAAAAGGCCGAGAAAATCGAGCAGCTCCACGAGGAGGCAGAGATGAAAGAGGCAGAGACTTTAGGGTGGAAGCATAACATGGACCGTCTTGCCTCGGAAAAAGATACCGCTCGGGCCCAACTATCCTCGGTTGAGCGTCAACTCCAAAGAATAAGAGACGAGAGCTCGGCTCGAGCCAAGAAAATTGAAGATCTCGAGACTCGGCTGGCTACTGAGCTTGCAAAGGCCGCATCTCTAGCCAAAAAAAAGCAAAGGCCGACACGGAGACGGTCGTGGCTGTCTACCGAGCCAACGCTGAAGCCGCTAACGCTCGAGTGAAGGAAATTTCCGACGCCGCTCAGGTTCGATTAGAGCATGCCAAATGTCAGTCTCGGAGGGAGACTCTCGAGGAGGTTCATGCTCCTGGCTTTGACCTCATGGCTGATATTAAGAATGCAAAAGCGCTGGAAGCCGAGGCCGAAGCTTTGCTCTCTAATGATAATGACTCCAGGAGTGTGAGCGGATCCGAGAGCGGTGAAGATGGAGATGAAGGTCTCGGGGAAGATTAGGCACTTAGAATATTTTCCTTCTTTTCTTTTTTTTTTGAAATTTTGTGTAAGGCCCTTGTCGGTCTCTTGTACATATTTTTGTCCATATATATAAAGAAATTTCTCTTTTGAATGCCTTCTCTAATTTTGTCTTCGATCATGTTTCGTGCCTTGTTAGCACATTTTTATGCTTTAAATAATATGTGTGAGTCTTTGGTTTTAAATGCCTTGATCGAAGCCACAATAATACTGCTTTTATAGTCGGGTTCGAGTGAAACCTGAATTTGGAGAAAAAGGACCCTTGGGTTTGTTTTGAATGATAACAAAGCTCGATTTGTAGTTGAGTAGGTTCTTATTCCAATTCGAGATAGTGGGACCCTCAGATTTGGATCTGTCACGACCCAAACCCCGGTCGTGATGGCGCCCAACACACTGCTAGGCAAGCCCGACCATTTACACAACCTTAACCAAATAACCTAGATGGATAAATGAATATCACAAGTAAAAATAACAATTTATGCGCAATCTCTAAAATAATTTCTAACCTCCGAAAACCCCAAAATAAAATACTA